CCCCCCCCTCTCTCTCTCTCTCTCTCTCTCTCTCTCTCTCTCTCTCTCTCTCTCCTCTCTCTCTCCCCCAACCCTGTATGTACACAATGCACATATATGTGGGTGTGTGTTACTAGGGATGGAGCCCAGAGCTACTTCATGTATACCAGACAAGTACTTTATACTGAGGTTTAACCCCAGCCTTCTTTTAACTTTCTATTTTGAGGGGCTGCAGGAAAGGGCACTGACTGCAGAGGACCTAGGTTCAATTTCTAGCTTCCACATGTGGCTCACAACCAACTTTTCTATTTTGAGACAGAGTCTTGTATATCTCAGGCTGGCCTGAATTTGTAATCCCTCTGCCTCAGTTTCCTAAGTAACTAGAATTACAGGCCTAAACCATCAAGCAGTATACAACTTCCTGTCCATGCTGTAGCTTCTTGAACTCACCATGGAACTACAGATAAGTGGCCTCAACTCTCTGGGCCTCAATTAGTCCATATGTAAAATGGGACAGTAGGGCCTGCCTGCTCATGTTGTCAGAGTGCTTGCCTAGCATGTATGAGGCCCATACATGGATTCATTCCATCCCCATCACTGCATAAACTGGGGGTGATGGCAATCCTAGTGGTCAGAAGGTGGAGGCAGGAGAATCAGGAGTTCAAAGTCATCTTTGACTACATATCAAGTTCCAGGACAGCTTGGGGATACATGGGACTTTGTAGACAGACAGGCAGATAAAATGGAGCCGTCATCTCAGTTGCGTGTGGATCCCACCTGGCCCTGAGATGGCCCAGCACCCCAAACCCTCTTCCTTCCTCTGTCACCGGCAGCTTGTACAATAACTGCATCTGTGACGTGGGAGCCAAGAGCCTGGCACAAGTGCTTCCTGACATGGTGTCTCTGCGGGTGATGGAGTGAGTGTGGGTTTCAGTGGCACCTGGGGAGGCAGAGGGTCTCCCACCTACCTCATGGGGAGGGTTGGGATGGGAGTAGCCAGGCCTCAGGATCGGCCTCTCTCTTCAGTGTCCAGTTCAACAAGTTCACAGCTGCCGGTGCCCAGCAGCTGGCCTCCAGCCTTCAGAAGTGCCCTCAAGTGGAAACATTGGCGTAAGTTGCATTGCCCCTGGGTTGGAGATCTGTGTGTGAGTCTAGAATTCAAATCCTACCCCTACCTAGCAGTGTATGAGCCTGGGCTGGCAGGGGATTTGCCTGCAGGCTTAGCATCTTTATCTCTGGAAGGATGTGGTATCTGCAGAGAAGACTTGAGATGGTCGTGTTAATCAAGATATAGAAAGAAGTTTTTGTGGGTTAGGGTCTCGTGTAGCCCAAGTACAGCCCAAGTTGGCCTGTAACTCACTATGTAGCCAAGGATGACCCTCTTGCCTCTATCTCCCAAGTGCTGAAATTAAAGCATGCTCTACCTATCCAATCCCGCATGGCAATGGGATCAAATCAGGACTTGGTGAATGCTAGGCAAGGAGTCCAACCCCAAGCCATGTTCCCAGGCCTAAACTTTTAGGATACTGTTACCACATAAAACATTCAATAAATATTTCATCAGGATTAACCATATGAATTTGCTTAATCCAATCATTCTTAGAACATAACAATAGCAATTTCATATAGTTAGACCCATTTTTTTACTTGTTTTTAAAGCAGCATTGCACTTGAACTCATGATCCCCCTGCCTCAGCCTCCCGAGTGCTGGTACTATAGACACATGTACTGTGCCCAGCTTTAAACTTATTCTTATTAAGCCACTGTGATGTCTGATGTCCAGGCCCCTTTGCTCTTCAGATGGCTTTGATCTGTACATGTGTGCCCATCTTCTCAGTTAGTGGCATCTCTAGATTCCTTTCTCACTGTGACAATAACTCCTGGCATAAGCAACGAAAAGGAGGAAAAGGGCATTTGGGCTCCGTCTCATTCACTGTGGTGGGAAGTTGGTTGTAGGAGTTTGTGCCTGCCACTGTTCACATGCTGGCAGGTAGCAGCTAGCTGCCAGAAGCGGCCTGGCTGTTGCCTTCAAAGGTCCACCCACAGTGACCTACTTCTGCCAGGTCCCACCTCCTAAAGATTCACAGCCTTCAAACTAGTGTCCCAGTCCGGGGGTGAGGGGGAAGGCATTTAAAACGTGAGCCTGTAGGGGACAGAGCATACTGAAATCACAATAGGATTCACTTTACAGCTAAAGAGAATGTGGCAAAGTAGACCTATTCAAGGTCATACAGCATGTCAGAATGGAAAGGGAGTCTCCTAGCATCCTGTTAACCCATGCTGGTCTGTATGGTGCCAGGTGGGGTGTGGTTAAGGCTCTACACAGAGTGGGAGATGGGGCTGTGGGTAGCTTGCCCTGGGGAGTCCTGGCTGTCTTCCCTCTAACCTGGCCTTGGGGTCCCATGTTCCCTCTACAGAATGTGGACACCCACTATCCCCTTTGGGGTTCAGGAACACTTGCAGCATCTGGATGCCCGTATCAGCCTGAGATGACCCTGATGTGCCCTGGACAAGGTAACCATGTTAGGACTACAGAAGGGAGAACCACAGGGATATCTGGGTCAGTATCTATGTGGGGTGGGGCCAAGGGCATCAAGCATGGTTGGTTGGGTGTCTGGGTCTATGTGTCATCTGGAGCTATACTGTCTCCAAATTGGCAGGTGTCCTCCAGACTTTGGGGACTTGGGCCAAGGAACTTCCCTGAGGTCAGCCTTAAAGACTGGGGACAGATGGGCTGAGCCAGTCACCTCTAATCCCTATCTTGGTATTGGGAAGTCCTTCTTTTGAAACTTTAAGTCTTTCTTGTTGCTGTTTCTCTTGGATTCATCTTCATAGGGAATTAATACATTTCCTGCCAGCAACATGAAGACAATTGTCCCCTAGCCCTTGTGTTTGTCCACTCTCTCCCCTGACCTGTGCTGCAGTTGTCCTCCAGCCCCTCCTTCAGTCCCCCACATCCTGACACCCCATCCTCTGCTGTCAAGGCTGCTCCGTGGAAGCTCATTGACTTGCCCGTGTTTCTTGATACCCCACAGCATGTACTCTGGGACACTGACCACGCTGGACCTTGTACTGGGTACTGTGGACTCAACTCTTCTGTGGGCCATATGCCATGAGTCAGCCTCTGGTCACCCTGCCCCTGAAGGCTCAGAGTTGGGCTCTGCCTAGAAGGAGAACGGACATATGTCTTGATCTTCTTCCCACGAGAAGCTCCAGGCTCTTACGGTGCCAGGTAGGAAGCCAGCCCCATTCAGTGGCTGTGAGCACTGGCAGACGGGCCCGGAGCTGTATTCAGCGGGTTCACCCAGGATGCGGAAGGCCTTCTCTTTGACAATCCAGGCCAGCATGAGGAACTGAAGTAGCCAAGCACCTGCCTGACCAGGCCAGTGCCAGCCTGGTGAAAAGGTACTTCTTCCCTGGCACTCCTCTGACAGGGCCTGCTGGGTGCTCTGAAGACTCTAGGGTAGCCCTGGCCTGCAGACTTCTAAATGGGACAGGGACTCTATGGCAGCTCTTTCTACTTGTGACTCTGTTTCCACAAACTTTCAGTCAAGGCTGAGCCAGGCCTGACCAAGACCATGGACATGAACCAAGAGCCAGGGAATGGTAGACTACAGGACAGGAAGGCTGCAGCTGGGAGATGCTCTGCCTTCTTCATACACTCACTACATTTTAAAATGCATCAGCTACTCTCACTGCGGCTCTGGGGTTTGGTTTATCCCACAAGTTCCATCTGGGGATACCTTCTGTCCTAGTTATCTAATGCAAACCAAACTATCCAAACCACAATAACTTAAAACAGCCCATACTTCTATTCTGCCCTGACCCCTGCCCTTCAGGCAGGCTCAGACGAGATGGCTCACCTGCCACCAACCCTCTGAGTCAACTGGGGCAGCTAAAGCTGAGCTGGAAATCATCTGAAAGCTTCCTCACTCATGTCTGGAATGTGACATGGGTTGCTGGCTGGGAGCCCTGAGTCCTTAATGGGACAGCTGGCTGGGGACTTCTCCAAGGGAATCTGGCTTGCCTTCCTCATAGCACTGTGTCTGTATCATAGGGTGGCTACCCAGTGCGGGAGAACAGAGACAGAAAGTGAGGAGACTTGGGCCATTAGAGACTGTCTGTGCTCTGCTCATCACAGCCCCCATCCCTCCGAGTCTGCATAGCATTCCTTCCACCACACCCTGCAGTGCAGAGCATGCCCAGAGCCTATGTGCACACCAGACAGTCCAGCTCTGCCCAGACCCCGCATCTTCTGCAAGGATCTTCGTAGCTTCTAAGAATCAGTGGAAAGTTATTATTCCGGAGTCTAAAGGGCAGAAGCCGTGACCACTGTACAAGTGGAGTGTTCTCCTCTTCTACTGCCTCGCTGCATCCTGGGAGCAGTTCTGTAGCCAAGTTTTTTGGCCTTAGCTGCTGCTAGCCAAAAGGGGCAGGCAGCACCAGCGCTGCTGTTCTTGTTTTCCCTGGGGGGGGCGCCACCTTTGAGGTCAAGCATCATTGATCCCTCCATCAGGACAATGATAGCTTGCTTTCTTGCCTTGGCAGAGGGAGCACCTGCATGGCTCCAGCATGCCAGCTCTGATGCCAATAGGACTGGCCCACATCCCAGTAAGTGGGAACTGGGCTAGAGGGCCTAGGGGGGGTGGTCTGCATGGCTGCTTGGGGGTGATTCTTGGAGTCAGGTCCAGCTGCCGAGGGCATCTGTGCTGAGGCATCAGGCTCAGGGGTGGCACATGGAAGTTCCATGTGTGTGGTCACAGGGGACAGCACTGAGGCATGCTCCAAGACAGGTATCTGCTGTGCCGGCCTGTACCTCTGCCATTGGTCTGTCTGGAGATGTCAAAAGTATCTCTCCTTACTCTGCCGAGGCCTGTCACTCATTAATGGGCTGATTATGTAAGGCACTCAGTAGAGTGCCAGGGACACAGAAAATGCTCAACAAACCTCACTGGTTCTAGATCCTGTGTGCTGGGCAGAATCTTAAGCCCTCTGGCTCCTAAAGGGAGGTAGCTTAGGTGTGTGACACCAACTCTTGGCTGAGTTGCTCGGTCACATGTTCCATCTCATCCTATATGTAGCCAAGTGTATTCTGTGCCTTAGCCTCCCCATCTGTAAAATGGGCAGAGCCATAGAATCCTCTTCACTGATTATGTAAAGATTCAATGTGAAAACAAAAATATATTAATAAAACTGGTCAGCAAAATTGGGTAAAGCAAGCCCAATGCTATGAGCTTGATTCCCAGGACCCACATGTAGAAGAGAGAGCCAACTCCTATGTTGTTTTCTGAAAGTTTCTGTACACCATGTATATACTGGAGCTAAGAGTTGTTATGGGCCTCCATGTCAGTGCTGGGAACAGATGTCAGGTTCCCCACAAAGGTAGCAAGCACTCTTAATCACTGAGCCATCTCTCCAGTCTACAAAATAAAATAAATAAGTAAATAAAACATAAAATTTTAAGAGTTGAAAGCAACGCCTGGCACAGGGTTCTGTTGCCCTCTTCTGGACTCGGTGAGCACCGCATACACTTGATAAACATAAATATACACAGGCAAAATATACATATAAAATAAATAAATCTTGAAAAAAAAGGTCATGTGTGGTGGCACACACATTTAATCCCAGCACTTGGAAAGCTGAGGCAGGAGGATCTCTGTGAGTTCAAGGCCAGCCTGGTTTACATTGTGAGACTTAACACAGCTCAGTGCAGGGGCTCTCATCCTTCCTTTCACCCTGTGTTTCATTCCTGTCTCCACCTGGCATGTTTTTCCCCCGACCTGTGTGAGTCCTAAAGGACTCCATGGTTCCTTATGGGCAGGTTATCAGTTTCTTATCCCTCTGCACCCCACTCTCCAACTCCACCTCAATATTCTCTTTTGCTGTCTGCATGTCTAGGATGTGAGCCCTGGGGGAAGCAAAGGGTTTGTCTGCTTTGATGACCCCTCTGCCCTCTTAGACCCATTCAGGTGCCTGAGCATAGTAGGTGCTCAGTAAGTGTAGGATGGATGGCCAATCCTCAGCACAGTTACACACTTAGTCATTGTGTAACTGTGCACTGAGGACACGCGGGTGAACGAGGCTCCTGTGCTGGTAGTCTTGCACCTTAGCAAATTTAAGATGCCTCCTGGACAGAGCAGCCAGGTGTGTCTGGCCAGGCTGTGCACTGCACAAAGGCTCCTGGACACATGAGGGTTGCCCATTAGTGGAGCCTGGAGTAGAGCTGCATCAGTGTAGAAGAGAAGCTCTTAGTAAGTAGCATGCTGTCATCTCAAGAGGTGGATAAGCTGTGGTTCCCATGTTAGAAACTTGGCATTTATAGGAAGGCCACAGCTTGGCTGTGGCCTTTTGAAGGATCTCTGTGGATATTGGGCACAGTGTGCTAGAATAGGCTGCCAACCCCACTTGTGATTCAAGAAGCAGTTCTGGGGGAATCATGCATGCAGTACATTTTCAATCCTAGCCCCTCTTCAGCCCTTGACTTCCTTCCAGGCCTCTCTCCCAGAGAGTATGTCTCTCTTCCTGGTGTATATGACTGTCCTCAGAGCCAAAATAACTGCACCCCATTGCAAAAGGATTATTCCATCATAAAGAGTCAGGGAGCATCACAGGATCCTCCCATGAGTATCCAATCACTCCCATTTGTGGTATGCAAAGGTACCCTAATTGCACATGACTTCAGGAGGGGCTAGAGATATACTCTAGACTAGAGAAGACTAGGGAAGAAGGCTCCATATTTTTATGGGTTTCAGAGACAGGGTCCAATGTAGCCCAGGATGACCTTGAACTTCTGAACTTCCTGCTTTCACTTTTGAACTTCTCATTCTTATGTCTCTGCCTCTGGAATGGGATTATAGGTACATACCACTGTGCCTGCTTTATGTGCTGTTGGGGCCCAAGGCTTTGTGCAAACCAGGTAAGGATTCTATCAAGTGAGGTACATTCCCAGCTTTTCCCCCATTCTTTATTTTTTTTAAGGCAAAGTCTCACTGTGTAGCCCTGGCTGGCTTGGAACACACTTTGTAGACCTGTTTAGCCTAGAACTCATAGATACCTACCTCCTCTGCTTCCTGAGTGCTGGGATTAAATGTGTGCACCACTACACCCAGTCCCTTCCTTGTTCATGGAGGTATATGATATGCTCTGTGTGTGGGACCCAGGCCCAAGTTCCCCAGGATCCCCTATCTCCCCTACTCCCCCAGCCACCAGTAACTCAGGCTTTCAGAGGGTGGAAGGAGGCGGCCTCTCTAGAGTGAGTTCCCTATCCCTGCTGCATCTCCACATTGGACCATCTGACTTTTTTTGCACTTTTTTGTGAACTGTCAGCCGTAATGCCCCCTTTCCAAAATTCAAAACAAACAACAAAAACAGCAACCGGGGCCAGGCAGTTGTGGTGCACGCCTTTAATCCCAGCACTCAGGAGGTAGAGGCAGGTGGATCTCTGTGAATTAGAGGCCAGTCTGGTCTACAGAGCAAGTGCCAGGATAGGCTGCAAAGCTATACAGAGGAACCCTGTCTCAAAAAACCAAACCAAAACCCAGCAACCAGACAAAGACAAGAGGGGTTGGAATTGCTTACATTTTTTTAATGAAATAAGTCAGCCTCTAAGTATTGCTTTTACAGGTTTATGGAAATCAAGTATCTACATCACTCACACTCTCCACACCACTCACACTTCCAAAAATAGACTTCTAGCCAGAGACAGCCTTCCCCAGCACAGCATCTCAGTTCTGTCAACCTGGAGAGACTAACCCCCGCTCTGGGCCTTGGCATGTCCCTCTTCAGAGTGACTCCCTGAAACTGTGTTCAACAATTTTGGGGCTGAAGCCTACCCAGGCTTAAGGCTCAACTGCATTAAACAACGCTGGAGAGGGTGGCCTAAGTATGAGTCTGTTTGCACCCCACTTCAGCTCTCCGTGTCCTTTCCAGAGGTTAAGTGGGGGAGGCAGGTGCAGTTGGGGGTGAAGTGCAGAGAGGTGACCTCTGGCTGGGTTCCTGTAAACATCCATCACAAAGGCAGAGAGTCACAAGCCAGATCCAGGAGTCTGAGAACTGGGTGGTAGGTGAGGTCTTTGGAGCCCTTCTCGTTCCTGTAGGGCCTGGCAACTCTCCCATCTTGGCACTGGGTCCCCACCTCTTCTGGTACACTCCTGGGTTGGGGCAGGAACCCTGTTGTTGGCACAAGCAGGCCTAACCAAGAAGAAAAATAACAATCATCAACACAGGCCACTGTACCACTGGCCTGGGGGTGCCTCCCTGGCGCTCGGGTGGGGCAAGGAAGCCTCGCTCTGATCCTTAAGGTCTAGGACTCCCCAGAAGCCTCATGCTCAGGCTGCAGATGCTTTTTTCCTTTCTCTTTGCTGAGCAAGCATTCTACCAACTGAGCTACATTCCTAGCTCCCTATAGCTTTTATCCCCATGTTCTTATTAATAAATTTGTTTCCCTTCTGAGATCCTGGGGAACCAGGGTAGTTTTCCATGGGAGAGGAGGGCTGTCCAGGTGATCAGGAGCTGGAGAGAGATGCTGGGGCTGGAGGAGGAGCTCAGCCATGAGGGAGGGCAAGCAGGGGCAGCTGAGCAAGCCCTGGGGAGTGGGCAGTACCTCCTATCTCATCCAGGAGGCACTATGCTTACAGGAAGGGTCACTCTATGCAGCTTGTCAACTCTGTGTCTCCACTTGGTTCCTCTTCCCATGATACAGCATCACTTGTAAGTTCTGGCCCTGTGGCAGGTTCTCTCCTCCAGTCCCTTCAATCCCATGTTTAGTCGTCACCAGCATCTCTCCAACAGTGAGGCCCAGGTCCCCGTCCTTTTAGCCCCCTCAGATTCTTCCCTCTACAAACACCACTGATCATCAGATGGAATGATCACTGTATGTGAAACATGCATGTGTACTGCTGGGTAACATCCAGGCTGTGTGAGGCTACCACAGGCATCACATATTTAGTAGTAGCCCTGGCCTCCAACCAGCAAAAGCTGGTAGCACCTCCAGTCACCGTGGCTATTAAAACTGTTGCCCACCTATTTCCATGAGCCACTAAGCAGGCATAACCATCTCCATCAGGAACTGTGCCTCTCCCCATTTTATAGGTTGCAAAACACAGGCTCAAAGAAGCAGGGTGAGTTTCCTACAGTTACGCAAGTAGAGCAGGCAGAGCTGGCATGTACTGGTAACAAATGGGGACAATCACAATCTGGGTGCCACCACACCCGGCACTCTTGTCACATGACTTGCTCCTTCCTTCCACCTACCTTCCCCAGCCCTGGGTGCCTTGGTCCTGCTTCCAGAGAATGCCTGGCCCCGGCTACAAGAACAGGGTTGCTAATATCTTCCTCAGCAAACTGCTTCTCACCAGGGACTGCCAGGAAGGTAGTGTACCAACACCCCGACCCCCTCACCAGTACCTGGGGCAACATGAGGCATGTCCTATGCCTCTCTGGCTCTGGGGGCTTCTGAGCAGGATTGAGCCCAAGACTACAATGGTAGCCTGTTCAGTACCAACCTGTTCCACCTTGCTGGCCTCACTTCCCACTCTCCACATGGAGTTCCTGAGATCTCCACCCTCCTTACCAGCCCACGACAGATTAAAGACATCAAGACTCAGAAGATGTAAGATATTTGTTGAAAGATGCTCAGCTTAGAAGTACTGACATCTGCCCAGGTGTGGTGCCCTGGCCCCGTGATTCCTGCACTAGGAAGCTAAGGCCAAAGAATGGCAGGTTAGAGGCCAGCCTGGGCTACAGAGCAAGGAGAGTGAGTTTGAAGCCAGGCTGAGCCATCTAGTATAAGTCAACGATGGGACAAGGTGTGGGCATGGATGGAGGTCCACACAGGGTTGTGCTCACAGGAAGGGCACCCATGGGGAGACTAGGCTCAGCTGTCTCCTTAGTTCTGAACAGGATAGGGGTGGGAGCCCCAGGCTAAAGTTTCTCCCATCCTCTGCCAGACTCACCTACTAAAGGCCAACTGAGGACATAATCTACCATGGCTCAGGAACCTTCCCTAGTTTCCACTGACTGCCCATAGGCAGGCCCTCCACCCCTTGGCCCCCTCCCACCTGCCCACCTGCCCATAGAACATGTGGGAAGCAGTGGCTATAGCTTCATCGGACCTTCTAGAAAGACTTTCTAGACTCTTGTCTCATCACACCAGAGCCCACTGGTAGCTGCTCTGCCCTCCAAGGAACCCTGGGGGAGACATGGTGCTGTTGAAAGCCTTCACGTTCAGGAGCCTAAAGTGTAGTAATTTACTGAGATTCACCCTCCTGGACGTCTGCTGCAGGAATGCCTCAGCCAGGCAGGAGGAGCCACCTAAGGGCTTCACTCCTTGCCCGTCCTTGTGACTACAGTCTCAGCAGCTGCTGGCCTGACTGACCCTGCTGTCCCACACCTTGCCATACGTTTTAGTGGATACTGCCAACTCCCAAGACACCTGCTGAGTCTCTTAGCTACAACCAATGATGACAGGTGCCTATTCACACAAGTTCCTCTCCTTTCAAAGCATTTTTTAACTCTTAAAAGTCAATTTAAGGACTGGAAAGATGGTTCAGTGGCTAAGAGCACTTGCTGCTCTTGCAGGGCACCCAGGTTGTGTTCCCAGAACCCACATGGTGCTTCACAACTGCCTAAATTCAGTTCCAGAGAATCAGTCTTCTTGGAGCTATAGATTTGGCACTTCTCTTACAGACAGCCTTCTAGAACCCCACTGTGCATCCTTCTTTCTCCACCTACCCGGGTGCTGTGCAGACACCCGGGATCTCTTTGCTGGGGGCAGACTGTGCAGCAGGAGACCATCTGGCTCATGGGCAAGGGTGTGGTAGCAATCTGGCCACCTCTCTGGCAGCTGAAAGGACAGAAGAGGAGAGAAGCTTCCTTTCTCCACATGGGTCAGTCTGTGCTGACAGGCAGCTTCTTGGGCCTGAATTTCAACCCCACATTGGCTGTGAGTGCTCATCACAATGGACCAGAATCTACAGTGTGTCTGTCTGCAGCTGTTCCTGACTCCCCTGCATTTGCCTGCCCAACAGTTCCTATGGCTTGTCACACATCACCTGGACATTACTTATTTAGACAGGCTGAGTATCTCCTATCTAGAATACCTGGACCAGGGTGTTTTGGATTCTATAATATTCGAGTACAGTAATGAGATGACCTGGTGACTGATGCAAGTCTAAAATGGCTTTCATCTCCCTGCCATGGCACCAATATGGTGGTCAGAAGACAACCTTCATGAGTCTGGTCTCTCCTTCCACCATGTGTGTCCTGGGGCTCTAGCTTGGCAGCAAGTACCTTTACCTGCTGAGCCATCTCACAAGTCCCAACAATGTATGTTTTTTTAACTCTTTTTTTTTTCTCCCCAAGATAGAGTTTCACTATGTAGCCTAGGCTAGACTGTAACTCTGATGCTTCTGTTTCAGCCTCCCCAGTGCTGAAATTTAGAAGTACTACCCACTTCACCTTGCCCAATTCAAGAGCATTTTGTTGTTGTTGTTGTTTTTTTGTTTTTCGAGACAGGGTTTCTCTGTGGCTTTGGAGGCTTCCTGGAACTAGATCTTGTAGACCATGCTGGTCTCCAACTCACAGAGATCCACCTGCCTCTGCCTCCTGAGTGCTAGGATTAAAGGCGTGTGCCACCACCACCCGGCTTCAAGAGCATTCTTATTGTTGTTTTGATGTGGGAGTCTCACTATATAGCTGTAGGCTGACCTCAAATTCATGATCCTCTTCCTCAGGCTCCTGTGTACTGGGAATATTGTCATGTGCCACCACAACTAGAAGTCTCAAGGGAAATGTTTATATCATAACTATGGGGGAGGGGGAAACAGAACTTGTCATAACAAAGGTAGTGTGGTAATGTTAAAGAGACAGAAAAGGAAGCCAGTCATCTGCCTCTGTGCCTAGAGCAGAGAAAGGGAAAAAAGCAGGAAGGCCAGGGCATCATGAGCCTGGCTCCTCTGGTACCTTTCAGGAGTCTTCCAGCCCAGCATCTCACTTCAGAAATTCTGGGCAAGTGGGAATGGCTTGAGGACCAATGAGCTCCCTCATAGCTGGGCATCTAAGGTGAGTCACTGAACTGCCCCAAGCCTCAGTTTCCCTCACATCTAATGAGCCCTTCCCAGACAACATCACAAGGTGACGCTCAGGAGGAAACTATGAAGATGTGGGAGGGGCACCCAGTTCTAACCTCCCAGTCAAGCCTCCTACCAGGCAGGAAGCCTGAGACCTAGGATGACAGCTGCAAGGACACCAGCATCAGTGGGTACCAAGCATCACCACCTCAGGCTGTTTTGCAGGAGGTTCACAATGATGCTCTCTACTGGTTACTGGTGCCAGAAGAGCAAGGCATCCCAGGAAAGGGGGAAGGCTTCTGGGTCTAACATACCACATGGTGCTGCATACAACTGTACATCAGTCACCAATCCATTGAATCACTGCAAGCCCCTATGCAGGTACCATCATTCCTTTTGCACAGAGAAGGAAACCAAGCCATGGGAGAGATGATGTTACTTGTCTAAGATGTTGGTAGAAAAGGGACTTGAAACCCCAAATGTGACTGCAAAACCTCTAGGAAACAATTTTAGGGGTCACAAGAGCTGGCTGGAACCACCTCACCTCCATAGCAAACACACATTGCTCTGTAGCTCTTGGTCAAGCCTTACTACTTCTCAGAGAAAATTGCAGTTTGGTGCCAGGAATCTTTATCTAGTAGTAGTAGTTCAGCATATAAAGCCAGTCCCGGCCTTTGCCATTGCTGGCTTTACTACTTGGCCACAGATGTTAATGACTTTGGCACTTATTCTCATGTATGCCAGGAGAGGGTGGCTTCCTTCTCATAGTGACATAGCATTCTTTTAAAAATAGATCCAAACAGTCTGGGGGTGTGCCTCAGCAGGAGGGTGTATGTTTAGGATGTGTGAGACACTTGATTGGATCTCCAAAAACACCCAAAAATAAGTAAAATAAGTCCGGAGGGCCTGGGGCTATAGTTCAGTTGGTAGAGTGCTTTCCCTGTATCCATGAAGCCCTGGATTCCATCCCAGCATTACATAAACTGGGCATTGTGGTGTGTGGTGCACATCTATTAGCATAGAGCAGGTGTAGTGACCCATGACTAAAATCCCAGCATCTGGGAGGTGGAAGCAGCAGATAAGAAGTCCAAGAGCTCCCTTGGCTAAACAGTGAGTACGAAG